TAGCCGGACAAGGGAGTTCAGAATGACATGACCAGGGCGGGAGGGTTTCGCAAAAAACGTATCCTTTTGTTGGTCGTTGAAACACCAAGGCGTCGGTTCACGGGAGGCAAAAAATAACCTTGTACAAGTAGCCCAAGCCGGAGAATTGTACTGTGAAGAGAGTAATTGGTGGAGATGTGGTTCGTGAATTGTATCACGCACCGAGCCCCAAGCCGTGGACGGATTCATCATCTCCTAACGCCAGCCGTACTTCATCCTCGCCAACACCAAGCCGTACGCGACCCACTCGCTCGCCGTGCCGGGCCTCTACACCTATGATGCCTGCTTCAGCAAGTTCGGTGGCTGCATGCGCAAGACCAAGCGCTCTTGCAACTTTGAGGTCCGACTGTTTCGAGCCCATGTTAGGAGCGTCACGGTGCTTCGACGGCGTCGGTGGTTGCACCACCGCGCCGATTCCTCCGTCTATCCTATCGTCCTTCTCTGGCGCGAGAATGTATTCATGAACAGGTCGGAGCTGGCTCATGAGGCCCAATCGTTTTACTTCATCCACAACATCACCAAGTACCACTTCACCGATACCTGAGCGACGTATCCTTGCCAAGAGCGCTGCCAGGAACACTTTGGAAGCCAGCGGAAGAGCCCGCAACGCCTGTTGCAGGGGGCTACTCGTTGCTTCGTTGATTGCTTGTTTGATCGTCACCATTGTGACTACGCCCCGTCGTTGGGCTAAATGCCCAGCCTGATCTGCCCTCTGACCCACCAGCTCTCCGGTAGTTGTGATTGACTGCGAGGTTGGAACCAAGTTAGCTTTGTTGTTCCGGCCGGACCTACTTGGTGTAGCCGGTTGGACTTCATTATCTCGGTCCTGTGATTTGATTTCGGTCTCGGTTTCGGCGATTTCCACCGCTCTTCGACAAATGTCCAATGCACGTCGAGCATCTCCACTAACAGCTGCAACTTTGCGGGCTGCAAATTGAACAGCATCAGGATGCACAATATTTCCCGGTACACCTTGAAGTCGCGATTGAATAATCTGCATCAATTGGTCGTACGTATAGCCAGGAAAGGTGATGCGTGTCAGGCCTAAGCGATAAGCGTGTTAGTCTTGCCGGCGCAGTAAGCAATACGAATGGTCAAGTGGCACACAACGGATATGCATAATTGTGAAATGCAAGCCGTTGAAGATCGCCCACGCTTGGAATGTGGAATGTGGATGATGGATTGTGGATGTGGATGTGGCTGGGAATAAGAGAGCGTTTCGGTGTGTGGGGCCATTTTGGGAGTAGAATAGAGATGATGGAACTTACCGAGCCGGCTGCTAATTTTATTACTCAACGTTCGCTCAGGTAGGTCCATTGTGTTGGCTACAGCAAGGACGATTAGCCTACTATGCCGGAGCCCAGGCCAATTGAAGAAGTTGTACATGACGGATTGGTTCTTCGTCACCAGCTGATCGAGTTCATCCATCAAGACGACGCAAGGAACACGACGCGGGCTCGGAGTCGAAAACTCGCGCTCCAACAGCTCCAACGCATGAGACGGGCTGACCCGGTCGCCGCGCAGTGCTTGCCATAACAGCGAGTACGACTGGTGTGGGTCTGTAACCTTCATGCCATTGATTTCAACAAATATAAAATCGTCCAACTCTTCGGCTTGTACCGAGGCCTGCAGCTGTGCGACGACTTCACGTACCGTCGCCGTCTTTCCAGTGCCTGGGGTGCCCGAGATGTAGATGCAAGACCCTGATCCTTCGGTGATGGCAGCCTCCAAGTGGCTGTAGACGGTAGAGAATTCCTCCTCCCGACAGGGTAGGGCGGCCGGTACTGACGATACATGGAGTTGATTGCGAGCAATCTGGAACGGCGAATTCAGGGTAGAGGGGTCGAGTACGCGTGTCCCCAGGGGGGTAAACTCTAATTGCTTCTTCACGACAATTCTCTTGTGTGATGGGGTAAGGAATTTGCGGGCTGCCGGACTCTTCTTGGTCGAAGTGGGCGTAGTCGCATCATAAAGTTTCCGGCGCTTCCGCGGAGTTTCGGGCTGGCCTTCATGCGCTGCATCTGGGGCCACAAATTCATCCAGGTCCTTTTGCAGCTGTTTCTTTGGCCGACCCGGACCTTTCCTTGTGGCCTTGGTCTGGCTCTCGACAAGGTCGACCAGGGCTTGAATATCTTCGGCGCTGTTGTAAATGTCTTCCCACCTAAATTCGGGTGTATATGTTGTCGTGCGTGTACTGCAGCCTCTCCTGCAGACGAATACCTTGCCGTAGTCCTTGGAGGACTTTTTAACCCCTGTTGGGTATAGCTCTTGGTATCGCTCCAGGGAATATATCTTGGCCGTACCGTTGATGGAGGCCAGCGGATTGTCATCGAATGCAGCCGATATGTACAGCTCGTTCTATTGGTTTTGCAATTAGTCCGCAGTCATGCACGCATGGAAGTGTCAATAGGCTCACAGGAAGGAAATCGGTGCGCTTCTTGTTCTGGTTTCGGATCTCCTTTTCGGAGAAGAACCACAGAAATTTGGCCATCTTCTCGTCCTCATCGACGTCTTCGTAAAAGTCACAGATGATGCCCACCCATGCTTGGTTTCCCTCTGCTTTGAGCAGGACAGCGTCGCCGACTTTGCATTTGAAGTTGCCCATGCGTGCACCCACTATGTGTCTTCCCAGCAGTTCAGGGGCTGCTTTTCTCTTCCGCGGTGTCGCATTCTGATTCGGCTGGGTATCGTCGGCGGCATTGTCCTGGTAAATCCATTCCCATGGGTGGTCCTCGTAGCCTAGCTCATCGTCCGAGTCTTCACGGAACACCGCGCCGCCAGAGAGGTATTGCCGTGCCTTGTCTACCTTGGAGCGTTTAATGGGAGCCATAAGAGGAGTGCAAGTGGTGTTGTTACAATTGGGGGGGAATTAATTATCGCTGACGTTGGCGCGCAACCGGAACACTACGACGCGTCGCTGTAGGCTTGGCGTCGCGAGACGCGGCAAGGCCAATCTCACCGCCTGAAGCACGGTCGTGACACCTTCCACCTCACAATTGCAATCCGTCGCAACAGAGCCATTGCAAATATGTATACACACACACACATATGGGTGATCAACAGCACGCATCACATATCACTTGTTATTATGCACGAAGAGTCAGATGATGGTAATAGTAAATATTCATTGGCCATATCACCGTGGCTCAGGCTTGCGCTGGCGCTAAGCTCACGTCCCTATGGTGAAATCTAAAGGTAGTAGTCATAACCAAACAAAATTTGTCAACAAAGACAAGCAACCTCTTAACGCCCAACCTCGCTGGTTAAGTGAGGGACCCTTTCCTAAACGACCGACGCTGATGATGCAAAACATGAGAGAAAAAGAAACACAAGAAGAAGTAGCGGGGAATAATTCATAAAAGACAGGAGACTTGCAAGTCTCAAGAAGAGAAGGTAAAAGAATCGGCGCCACTGCACCCTCAATTACACAGAGGGAATGGGGTGCATGGGAGGCGTTCGTGGCATGGAGTTTGGTGTTGTTGGGTAGTCCATGTCCGAGTGCTCAAGTGGTGGCGTCGTCATCTGCCGGAACCGGTCAGTGGATTGGTCGGCGAAGGAAGAGCAGCAGCGAGCGGAAGAGCTGGAAGCCTATGCGTAGTAGGGCTGGCGTGTAGGGAGCCTTACTGAGTGTGCGTAGGAGTGGGGTGGTGGGATCTCGATCCCGCCAAGTGCCGCGTAACCGACACCAAAAGGGCTCATGTCCTCCTCGGCGTAGTACTCGGTCTTCATGGCGGGCACCAAACTTGGCAGTCCAGTCGAGTAGGAGGACGAGTGTGGCGGTGGCAGGTAGGCGTAGCTTGGCATGTCGGTGGTGAGAGTGGTTGGTATTGTGTGGTAGGGCGAGGCTGAGTAAGGCATCGAGTAGGCTACGGCGTCTGGTGCTGGGTAGGCGGACGAGTAGGCCACGGAGAAGGGTGGTGGGCTGGTGGACAGCTGGCGGGTGTACTGGTGCGAAAACATGCGGTCCTCTGCGGGTGGGGTGGTGTAGGAAGATTCCGAAGAAGATGGTGAGGGGAACTCCTGGCGCGGTGATCGCTGAGGTGGCTGCAGCTCAGCAGGCTTCTGCTCAGGTGAAGCTGAGCTAGAGGCAGCACGACGCTCCTGCACCCGCATCAGTACATTGTTCCGAGCTATACGAGGTGTGGTAGCACGGGGACTCACAAGGTCTTCAAGCCTCTTCTTGAGCTTCTTGCGGTAGTTGCGTTGAGCAATGCGGTTCTGGATACGCCTGCGCTCCGCAAGATCCGAGATCTTTGTCCAGTCCTCGTTGGGGTTTGCCGAGGCTGAGAAGGCGGACGAGGTGCCCGAGTATCTTGTGGTGGTTGCCACTGGGCTGGCGTATTGGTAGCTGGCGTGTCGATGCATGGTGGAGGAGGAGGAGGAGGAAGTGACGTGGGTGGGGGGGTAAGTGTGGCTAAGGGAAAGCAGCAGCCACAGGCAGTGATGTAGTGGTGGTTGTTCAAGAGGAGGGTGGTATGTGTATACGATGGTGTGTTTGGGTCAAAGGCACGATGAAGATGAGAAGATAGAAAGACTCAGTTGTCGAGCTGGATGTCTGGCTATTAATGCAAGAGGCTCTGGCAGATGGGGAGGACATTATATTTATCTCGCCGTCTCAAGAAGCGTCCGCAGTCGTTCGAGTGGAGCACAGACGGACTAGTGTTGGTCCCCAGCTTCAGGCCCTCGCAGCGCAGGCACCCTGGGCAGTCGATGCCGGCTTGAGCATTGCTCAATTTGGTACGGTTTGGAGGGACCCTGGCCAGTGTACATTCACCGACTGCGGTCTTAGTAAATTTAGTATGGGCGCTAGTGCAGGCTGGCAGCGGGCCAGTGAGCGTTGGGCTGGCCAGGGCGCGGCAGGCTTCTGAGGCCACGGCAGGGTGAGACGGCGGGCGCATGGGCGTGTACTGAAAGCAACGGGCGCAGAAACGGTGTATTGGGGAGCGGTGACCATCAGCATCATGGCTGTCAGGCCTGTCAAGCCCCCAGCGACCCCCAGCGACACCCCTCGCCGTCGCTCACACAGCGCTGCTCGCCCGTCCCCATGCCACCCATGCCGCCTCTCTCGACGCGTCTGCCTCTGCCTCTGCCTCTGCCTCTGCCTCTGCCTCTGCCCCCCCCTGCCACCGCCCGCCCTCGCTGCGTGCCCAGTGCTCGTCGCCGACAGCCCTACGTCCCTTGGCCGCTCGAGCCTGACGGAACTTCACGCGGCCCCGGGCACGAGTCTGTGTGCTGTCTCCATCTCGGTCCCTGCGTGCGGCGTGCGTATGCCTCTCTCCCAGGGCCCTGCCCGCATCGAGCCTTCACAGCACCATCATCACGGCGTTGCTCGTCCGGCCTGCCTTTGCGGGGCCACCCTCGACGCAAGACGGCCTCCTCTCTGCTTGCCAGCCCGCCAGCCCGCCAGTCCGCCAGCCCGCCAGCCCGCGCCAGCCGTTGCCTCCACCTCCGCTATGCTGCATGCAGTGCTGCAACTGGGGGCCCCAAGTGCAAGCCAGAGCAGACGCATCCATCCACTGTGCCTCGCGCCGTCGTGGATGCTGGGTGCTGGGTGCTGGGTGCTGGGTGCTGGGTGCAGCGGCACGCCCCACTTGCTCGTCTTCAGCCCCTCACCTGCCATTGGCTGCTCCTCCACACAGCTCTGCGCTGCCTACGTAGGACGTTGTGCATGTGCAATCTCCAGACACCAGACCACTCACCGCGACTCGCCCGTCCCAAAATGACGCTGCCGGCATGATGAATTGCTCCGTCTGCCTGCCATGGCGGCGACTTGACTGTCCGGCCCTGCGGTGCGTTGCGGTGCCGTGTCGTTGTAGACAAGAGAATAGGGAAGGAAGCCTACTCCATACGCACTTGCTGTGTACGACCATATCCTCCATCGAGCCTAGCCCCCCCTGCCAACCAACTTCAGCCCTCACACCACCATCCACTTTGCTTTGTCACCCATTCCCCAACTAGTAAACTGCGCTGCGCAGCCGACCGTTGGACAAACCCCCCCTCCCCTCTGCCCACTCACTGCCCACTCACTACCCACACTGCCCACACAAGCCACGCAAAGAGCCCCAGAATTTCCCTAGAACAAGCGTCTCACACTCCAGCAGCCCTACGCATCCTCCCATGCTCTACCGCAGCCGCATCAGCACCTTACTGCAGAGTCGGTGAGGTAAGGCGAGAAGTCCCTAGGTCTTTTCAGCCTAAAGCTTGTTGCTACGAGAATAACCAATCACTGATCCCGCATTCACCATGTAGAAACACTGATAGACGCGCCCTCAGCTCTTTCTATTGATGGTATCGCTCTAGCGTCTCGTCGTGGTACCTACCACCAACGCTACGCCCTACGCCCAGCGGCCGAGGCTCATTTGCCTCGCCCTCGACGACTGGCTTTCCCATTGACCTCAGCCATCCCCCTAGCCCGCCAAGAGAGTGCTTTGTAGCAGCCGTTGCTGTGCATACTACTTGGCTTGATGCCGACAGCTGCTATCTATGCCTCGGAGAGACTCTACCAATGTAGAAGCGCTTCCCTCACTGTTGTCCCTTTGGCGGCTGTGTTCCGACTTCAGGCCACCCCCCGGAAGAGCACATGGAAATTGTGGGGGCCGAATCATGGCAAAAGATTGGCCAATCGAGCAGAGAGGGCTGGACTTGGATAGTTGAGACATGTCCGTGGGTCACGATAGCTGAGCAAAAAAAAGTGTCTCCAATTGAAGACAAATGTGGCCATGCCGATCTGTTGTACATGCCGAAGCCATGCATGTTCCCAAGATGCGTGGTGGGTTGGTTGTGGTGGTAGGGACTCTGCCATTTGACACTGCAATGGCCGTGTGTGGGGTACTGGAGCTCGTCTAGATGGTGATGGATGCACTTTGCCTCAAACATATGAGCTGGCTTCTCTGGTTCCGGGCGGCGGGGTCCACTCTGCTGCCGTTTGGAGCAATAGTTGTCTTTGAGTAATGACCGGGTTGTGCAATCTACCAACGATACTGCAACACTGCCCGTGCACAAATACAGGCCCCCAATTCGAAAAGTTCCATAGTTCAAGAGCAATCAAGGCGTGATTGTAAGGCGCCAATGGACAGGACGTGATAGCGTTTACCCGCAAGAATTGCCAATCGTGGGTGAAGATCGACTGGAACGTGGGCTGCTGTTGTGGTTGTCTAGACAAGCTTTCCCAGCAAATGCCTGCCTCCCACGGCCATGGTATCACCCCCCCAAGTCTTTTTTGTTTTCATATGGCCGGTGGTTAGACGAGCACCACGAGCACCTGACCATTTGAATCAAGACCAGTGGGAAGGAGGCAGATGCGACCAAGTCTACAAATAGTATCTTGGTGTTTTGGAGCAGTGGCATTGCCACCGGGGGGTTGCTGTAGCACTTGTGCTTTGAAATACGCTATCGCGCATGGCATCATGGCGAAGTTACGCCCTGCGGTGCCCGTTGGCGGAGCATGGCCGGGCGCGAATTGGACTTGTGTGTTTGGACAGCGCCCCAGAAGGCCAGGACAGCTAGCGCAGTAGCCGGACGTCTCGTCTGCTCACTCGTGCGACTTTGTGTTCTGCAACTTTGACTCGCCATTCTACTAGACGTGACTGAGGTGGCCCCGGACTCCCGGACTTAGGGAGAAGTCCAACACGTGCATGCCATGGAAGCCTAGTAATGTACCGACACAAACGCCAAATGCATGCATCTGGCAATTACTCGAATGCAGCCTTGCGGCTGGAGCCACACCGGTTTGCGGCGTGTCCGCTCCTACTATGGCGACCGACCAGCGCAATGCAACTACGGCCTTGTATACTCTACGCGATATCAGAGTCGGTCATGTCCCGACGGTGAGAGTGTAAGGCGGGAGGACCCCTGTTTTTTCCTATAGCGGCTAGCACAGCGACGAGCCCTGTTAGCGAGGACTGGCGGGTAGCTGTGAGTGGATGGAAGCAGAAGCGAGACGAGTAGACAGGCCCAGGCGACCGTTGTGTCGGGCGTTGCGACCGAATCTCACCGCTGGACGCCATACGTCCCATATAGTAGGCTGCGGAGATGGACATGGTGCGAGTGCCCAGGTCCAGTATAGTGCCATACTGCTGGGCCCATTTTACAAGTACTAGCACAGCATCCTTCCTGGAAATGTCCTGGCCATAGTATTGCCCAAAACGAGGACAAATTGCGCAGCTGTTGGGAGCAATGTGCTAAAATGGCCACATGAGCGCTTGCTTGCTGGCGCCTCGAACAAAACTACTCTACTCGCATTCCAAGAGCGGTCCAAATGAATTCGACCTACTAGACTCTTAACCGCTGGCCAAATGCGTCTTCTGCTAATCCTGTCGCCAGAGTTGGCAGGCAATGACGCCAGCTACGAGCGCGCTAATTGGTAATTCGTCGGGGCAGAGGAGAGAGCATAGTAGGGCCTATATTTAGCGGCCGGTCTACCAAGTCGAGCCAGCGTTCTGACGACAGCATACCCCTCGATGCACCTTTGCAGCCCTATAGCCCTATAGCCCACCCGACAAAGCACCTGACGTGACTATAATTTTGCCAAGAATACCATGCCAGCGACGAGTCCCCTCTTACCATGGCCGCCGGGTGTTGGTTGCTGTAGTAGCACCTTGGGCCAAGGCCCTGACAAACTACCGTTCACGACACACACACACACACACACCTACGCACATACGCACATGCACACATACACACACCCTCTCTCTGGAATTAGTAGGTGAGGGGTAGACTATACACGTGTATCCGCATACGGACCAAGCTCGCACGGTATTGAGTTCACCGGTTTCTGGGCGTAACCGGCAGGAGGGCACGACCAGTGCGGTGGGAACGCCTACCGCGTCTCTGCACAAGTAGTGGGTAGGCAAAACGGACTGTCATTTGCAAAAAAAAACAAGTCGAAAAGGATGCGAGGGCGTGGTGGGCGTTAGTCGCATATTGGGCAGAATGCAGCAGGCTCGCTTAGACGAGAGGTGTATAGTAACCAAGCGCCCATGGCGCCTCGAGCAGCGACTTCACCGATAACCATTGGTCGCCTAGCACACGGACGCTCGCCAACGCTATGCATCCGCACCGGGGGGGATAGTCAGGCCTCGTGGCAGTCTGGCAGCAGAGCGTCTCGGCCCTCGACCTTTGGCGACGCCCATTTGCGCAATCGCGTCACATTCTTATTTCCGTCACGCTGCAGCCCCCAAGGCAGAATCGAGGCCTCTGGATCAGCCGCATCATGGCCCTTTGGGGGGGGGGGAGGGGGGCGCTCCTTCGAGACATGCATGCACTATAGCGTGCTCGAGGACGCAGCATCGTGCAGTCACACTTGCAAGTGGGTCCCCCTTCGGCACAGGCTCGAGTCCAGACACAAGACAGGGCAATTGTACGACTTGGGCTACTCGCACACTGGCAACACCAAGCGCGGTCAACGTGGGCCAGCCAATGAAGCGCAGCACGAGCATCGGGCGTCGGCACAGGCAGGCCCGCCCACGCGTTCGGGGGTCCAAAATCGCATCATGGCACGGTTGACAAATGCTGTGCATAGTTTGTGGGAATTTCACATTGCGCTTGCGGCGGACCATGGCCCATGACTAAGACGGTGGGCTGCCGAGTGGCTTGCATCGGTAACTGGCAGTCTTGCTCTTTGCAGTCATCAGAGTTGCGACTGTCATCCCACAAACCAGCAAGCGAAACGAACCCCACTCAGGATTCAAACAACCCATGCAGGAACATTGCCGCAGATATTGGCAATAACGCTCTCTGTTCAAGGCCGCGGTTGAGCCAAATCTCCTCACCAGTCTTGTGTATGCAATCTGCTGCATCCGTATTTACACTTACATGTATGCGTATGCTAGATCCAGACTGATATCGCACCACGCTGGCTGTTTGCTTATTTCCGTCTTGCAGAACCTATATTTCATAGTGGAGCATGAGTTTGAAGAACGATAGCCCGAGTCAGGACCGTCAAGCCCTACCGGTTGTCAAGTGGCAGGGCCGTAAGAAGGTATCACGGCTTCGCATGCCATTGGACGCCACATGGGATCCTACTACATGTCGCCTAAGCTCCTAGGCGAATTACTCAGCCAGTGACGCATGTTTGACTACCTTTTTTGCGCACTGCCGCTAGCACGTCACACTTCAAGGCAGCAGTAGGGCTGAAGACGGAAACCTACTGAACGAGGCTGCGCGTGGTGCACTTTGTTTTTTTCCTTCTTCTTCTTCGACCGGTGACAAAGCAAGCATAGAACCCGCAGAATGGTCGGGCAATGTCGCTCAACAGCGCTACTACGTGTGTCGCCAGGCGTGTTGGTCCGTGGAATGTTGCCCGTCTGCTTTGCAAGTACACGCTCCAGGCCACGCCTCTGGATGCACAATACGCCTCTCGGCCGTCGAGTGTCTGTGACGGACAGATGGTTGCAGCGCGATGTGCGTCATAGCGGACTTGTAAACGCCATATCGCTATCGCCGGCATCACCAAGATCGGACTCGTTCTTCTAAAGTCCGAACCATCATCAGCCCAGCATTCCATGTCTGATCCTCCTAGCCAAGGTGTTGCGCAATGGATTTGAAAGCAGCAGCGGAAGCAGGACCATGGCTGACCCTTGTTCCGAGTGCAAGTGTTCTACAGCCTTGCACTACCAAGATTTGGCAAGCGGACTTGGACGGGAAATGCAGTGTGGTGTGCAGTAGATGTGACGGATAGAGCAGGGGTTGCCGTGGGAGACCAGAACCGGATTCTTTCAGCAGGGCCGTAGGTGCATCGCGTGGGAATAGAATGGTATTTGCTCCTACTATATGAAGATGGGCATGGACCACAGCGCAAAAGTATGAGAGTTTATCGAGTTTTGAGCAAGATGGCAATGGGTGGACAATCATACCACTTACCCCGCGCTACCCCCCCCTCTCGTACCCCCTTGCTGCCCCCAGACAGACGGGCACGAGAATGCAAGTCATCAGAGGGTGGGATGGCTGTCACCAGTCGGAACCAGGACTCAAAGAGGCAACCATGGTCTAGAATGGTGCATCTCGTGGCAGCCATTGAGGACTCTGTTATTGCGCCTATCTCTCAGCTGCTAGGTCATGAGGCTTGGGGCGGATGTAACCACATGTGTGTGTGTGTGTGTGTAGCGTAGCCACGAGCCAGCCGAGGAGCAAGAAGCCGTCGCTGGCTCAAGGTGACGCAAATAGGTCTGGGTACATGCTACCACGCACACGCAACAGGTCGGGTCCTGAAGTGGAAACATGGTGCGAAAATGCTCGCTTGCTACTCGTGCCTTTTTCCACGTCTGGATGCGGGGCAGCAACTGCGCCATGGAGCATCCAAGCCAATTTGAGAGATGGTACTAGCAGTACACCTAGTACATGTGGTTGCTTTGATTTAGAACGGGCCTAGCAGACTCGGTGTAGGGCAAAATAACCACCAAGCTGCACCGTACATGCGCACACTCACACACATACACACACACGATGACGACGGATCAACGTGGGGGCGCCGACTGCTCCGCCAGGCCCCACGATAGAGTTGAAAGTGTGAAATGGCGGTTGGGCGTGCAGAGTGCCGCCTGCGCGAAACATGCCAGAAACAGATGGAGGCAGCCACAAGGACCTGGCGGGCACTCGGGAACCGGCTATAGTCACGTGAGGGCGGCAAGACAGCAACACGCGGCACGGAACTGGGTCCGAGGGGCGCAGCTGGACGCAGCACGGGCTGGCTAGTGTGCAACGATGTGGTGGCGCAGGCATCATTCGCGGGCCCAACCGTGCCTTGTCTACGAGGTTGTACCTGGTTTGCCAGATTCATTATACGTACCGCTCTCTAGCCCAGTGCCCACGGTGGCCCACGATACCCACGACAACCCACCTGAGGCCGCGGGCGGCAGACTACCGCTAGGTACTTCCAAGTCACTGCGCCCTTGTCCTTCCCGTCGCCCTTGCTCGCTGAGAATGATGCAGCATGTCTTTGGCCAGATTTTCAAACAAAAGGGCGGTAGTGGTGGTGGTGGCGGTGGTGCCACCTCTTGCAGCTAGCTATGTACGTACACTATCCATGTATACTGTGTATGTATACATATCCAGCCTGTATGTACTCTACATAGATGGGTACATGCAGTCTGTATAACTCCCCGGTCGTCGGTGATCCAAGCGCGTGGCTGGCCAGATGTGCTTACATACGTACATGACTGCTTACTTACATGGACGTGCAAAACCTCTCTACTGACAGCCATGGAAGCTTTGGCCCCGTCCCCTAGCGCCGGTAACTATCGCAAGCCGCTAAGCACTCAATCCATCCCTCTGCCTTGTCTTCAACGGTCGTTCTGTCGGAAATTCCACCTTCTAAAATTCCATCTTGGCAGGCATTCACGATCTCGACACCGCCTGATTAAGTTTGACCACCTGTTGACACGACACTGGGCGTTACACCGTCTTGCATACGTCCCGTCTGCGCCAGCCGCCCTACACTGTGTACGCCGAGTACCAGAGGCAATTGCCGCTGCACAAACTATGTATCTAGCCATGTGCAGGTGTCCAAAATCCACTTGGACAGCCATTGCTGGTCAGCCTTGGACTCCCACGCTAGCCCGACCAACGACATGCAAACGACGTGACCAATGACCAGCCCCAAAGAAGCTCAAAGGGCCTGCGCGGAAACAAAGGACACTAAGCCTCGTTGGGCCAATGCGCATCGCACTCAACTCCCGCAACGCTTTCTTAACGGGGCAAAGCGCAACAGCCCCCCTGGCGGCCTTCATTTTGGTTCGTGCCAGCCCAAGCCTAGGGCTGGGCAGATAGTCGGCGATTTGCAACTATGGACTCGCATTCCATGTACTTACCATGCATGCACGCAGGGCCACCGGAGCCCGAACACGGAGGCTGAACAGCTTGTCGGGTCCGACAGCCGTCCTTTTTTGCTCATCTCCTGATCGTAGCAGGACGCTTTGCATATCGCCCAGCGAGCGGCTTTTCACAGAGCCGACTGTTGGAGCCGTTTGTCGGGTTGCAATGGCTTTCGTGTTGAACTGCCCTAACTGCCAGACGCTGTCATGGGTGCGTTTTATTACCCCGGATTGCTCCCACGTTGGCACGTTTGAGTAGTTGGTCAGCACTCAAATTGGGCCGAAAGCGATTGATTGACGGGGGGGACCTGCTGCCTACTCCACGGACGGTTGCTCGCGCAAGGGCTTACTGATCTGATGGTCGCGAACGTTGTAGGGCTGAGGAGCTGTCTTATGCCGTTCCCTCCACGCGGGGGTTGAGCCAGCGGGCAGTCTGACATGTCGCTCACCCTTCTTTGGCTCTGATCTCGCATCCCACATGGGAATCGTACATGACGTTATCCAGGAATAAAAATAAATACACATACCAGCAAAAAGGTGCATGTAGCAAATCTTGTCGCCTCTGCTGTGCTGTGCCGTCCTGTCTGCACGTCGCACCGAATACAAACCCGCCTCGACGCATTTCAAACACATGTACTCGACATCCATGTCCAGAGAGGGGCACGCGCACACAATCATAATGCACAAGCACTTCGACTTCCTTTCTGTACTTTACGGAATGCGCAATAGTCGACGTGCCTACCCTGTCACGGGATCTTTCCAGGTGAAACACGACAGAAGCCCCCTATACCCTAAAGCCAGGACAGCCCGGTGACACTTCCACTCCTTTCCTTCTCCCAACCGCCGTGTCGGCCATTTCGGCGCAACCTACAGGACCGAGTTCCGATTGTCTCTCAGTCGCTCAAAACGGGCGCACAATCGTCACTGGCCGGATGGTCCGAGTCGTGGCACCTGCAAATCCGGCCCTTCCGTTCGATTGATTTGCTCCGTACCGTTGTCGCTCCGGCATATTCCACCACACAAACACACAACAATACGGACACGGACTGGGAACAGAAGGTACACGCACACACACACACATGCTGGCTGCGAATCTAATCATCAGGGCTAGCGATCGCAGAAACTTGGCGCTTCCCAAACCATTCAACAACCTACGTAGTGGATTACTACGCAACTGCCGTCCAGCCCTAGGTCGATCACTTGTAGAAATCGCACCGACTACCAAGTGATTTTCCTGCGCGCACCCTTTTTCTCTCGCTCTATTCGCGCCGATGAAGACAAGAAGATGCGGTGGGCATCAACACACACACACACACACACACAAATACCGTGCACATACATACGCGCGCGCACTCCGCCTTGCATTTCAGTTCAATTGACCTAATCGAGAAGCATGAGACACAAGTCACAGAGAGGACTCCGAGGAGGAGTGAGGTCGGCGTCTCAAAGCAATCACAATGTCACAGTCATGGCTTTTTTACGGCGACTCTAGTAGACGGGCTGGTTAATTGTCATTCATTATCACGACAGTAAAGCGGTCAGTCAGACTATGCGTTGGGTGCGGTGGGTGACATTTCAGGAGGGAGTCACATAGTACAACGCGTTTAGGTTAGAACGCTATGTCTATTTGTTCTTCGGTACCTGACAGTCCGATCTGCCGCTCACATTTGTGTACATTACAGCTAAAAAGCAAGCTTTCCGTATAGCTGGAAACGTTGCAAAGCGTCCGTTGTTCAATAAGAAAGGATCTAGACCTAATGGAGGCCCGGGGGGTTTGTTGTCTGTCCAGCAATAATAGGGCCGGTTTGGAACAAAATCATAGTTGGTCCTTGACCGTGTTCGCGCTATTTGCTGAGGGAATTTACCGCTTCACCTTTTTCTGCGTTCGTCTCTTTTTTGGAGCAGGAGCCCCCCTCCCTCATCAAACCCAACACGCACCCCCAACTGCCGTGATACCTATCCTGTCTTGTAACATCGTGTGAGAGTTTGTCAACCATAAAACAAGGGAAAAAAAAGCTCAGTGCTTTTTTTCACAACTACCGATCCCTCGATCCACCCACCCAAAAAGAGAACGAACGAGTCTCATAATGGAAAGGGAGAGATGATGTGGCATGACACGCATCCTGAGGGCAATCCCGCTTCTCGAAACAACAACACATTGACCCCCCTTCCTCCTTGTTCCACGACTCGAGAGAGAGAGAGAGAGGAGTGATTTCCACCCTAGTGCATGTGGTAGTCCCCTTGTACTCGTAAACTTGACGAAGGTTGGAAACCAGTTCAACCGTTTAAACTAACTATCCTTAATCAGCCCGTCCTTGCAAAAAAAAACCCCAAAGCACCGCCCCCCCCCTTCCCTTCATTCGCACTAGTAAAGTAGGTAGCTTCCGCAGTAGCGTCACCAAAAGAAGAAGGAGAAGAACAGAAAAGAGAGAGAAAAACACACACACACACATACAAATACACACATAACAAGCCTTTTTGACAACCAAGCCAAGTTTCCCCCCCTTCAAGCGGCAATCTCCACAAAATGACTTTCTCGCCGGCTCTCTCCTTGGTCATATGCAAACCCATCTAAAATGATGTGCAAGACCACGTACCCCATCCCTCACACATCCCCCCCATAACACACAACATCCCTACCTTATACCGCCAAAACGCCCACAAGAAAAGACGGAAAATAAAATAAAAATCATTGACTCATCGCGTGACATAATCATCCCACCACCCCTTCTTCTGCTTCTTCTTCTTCTTCTTCTAGAAGGGCAACAAAACATACCCACCCACACTTACCCCAGCTAGGTCCAGATGACTAAAGTACACACGACTCAAACCCCCCCCCCTCCCCTCCTCAAACGTCTATACGCGGTGTGGAGAGAGAGAGAGAGAGAGAGACAGAGAGAAATCTTATTTTCTGTTTTTTATTCTTTTTTTAAAACACACTTTCTTCCTTACTAGTAGCTTTCCTCTAAAAAAAAATATTTAATGCTAAAGTTGACGGTAGTACGTAAATGGTATATACTATAACCAAACGCTTTTTAGAAAGAAAAAAAAGAAAAGACTTGTGTTCCCGTCGCTTTTATGACTCCGATTTGTCTGTGTCTATGTGCGGACCTCGCGCCCCTCCCTCGCCCCTCGCAGGCCCCCCCCCCCCCCCCCAAAGTTGTGATGTTTGATTCATGGAGTGACAAAACGCTTTATCCTTGCCTTTGTTCCGCCAGACTTGGACTTACTTACCTCTAAACGATGTTTTTTTGCTGGTTGGTGCTTTGCTGGTGCTTGACCAGGGAGGGGCAGTGTGTGTGTGTGCATATGCCCCCCGACCCCAAGTCTAGTCCTTAATTCTCCTTCATCCCTACCAAAAAAAAAGGTCGCGCACGGTTTCATGGTGCCCTTGCCTTGATTTGCCCTTTTCCTTCCATAGATAGCACTAGGAAATGTCTCTCTGGGTGCTCAGCCCAGCGGCCGGGCGCATAGACCCGGTAGCGTAAGCAAAAGGCAACGGTGTAGGGCTGCGTATGTAAGATTTTTGTGGGTGGATAAGTACAAGGGGAGGGGATGGGGAGGGGGATAGCATGATGGGGGCAGACCATGATGAGGAAAGAAAAAAAGGACGCTTGTACCTTGCTTAGCGGCAGCTGGGAACGGGAAGGGGGGAAGAGAGAGAAGGGAGAGTGATCGGCGAGATCTTACTATGCGCTCGACGGGGCTAGGACGGAGGGGGTTAGAGCGACGGTCTGGGGGGTGCGTTTAGGGGGATGTGCGTGGAGGTGTGGGATGGGGAGAAGGATGAAGAGGGTTTGAGTACAGACCGCTAGTACTTGCTAAGAATGAAGCGGTTTGGATGGTATTGTTGGTGTTTGCGTGTGCCATGGGGGAGATTAAACTAGCAGGGCCGTTGCCCTATTTTCCTTCACCCGCGCCGTTTGTTTTTTGATTTCGGGATGATGCTTGCGACATGAGAACGGGTTGCCCGCTTGGTACGTGTGCACTTTTTTTCTATCTTGCCTCTTTTGAGACCGTTAGTGTTTTTGGTGATGGGGTTTGTTGTCTCGTGCTTCTTTTTGATGTTCTCAAAAGTAGTTAGAGAAAACTGATTCAGGGTGCAGATCTTTAATCTAGTACAGGTCCTTTTTTTGCTCGGCGTTCGGGAGACCGAAATACCCGGATTAGAAAAACGATACCCCTTCTCAGTGAAGTCGGAACTAAAATCTCCTTGCTCCGACGGTGTGTTGAAGTATGTTTTGAAGCCTTTGTTCCGGCTGCAATGTCAGTATTAAGATTTTGCCTAATAGGCAATTTGTCATAGTAAATGCAGAGTTGGAATGTTCATCTTACCGAACTTTAGTATGAGATGATATTACAGTAGTGACGATATTTCGTAGTAAAGGTGG